AATTTTAGTTTGTTTTTTAATGGTGATGTTTTAAATAAATTCTCAATTTTTATTGGATTTTTAAAAATATTTCAACTTCTATTATTTTGAAAATTTATAATGTTTTTTCAAAATTAGTGAATTCCAATTATTCTAATTATTAAATCATGTTTTCAATGAAATATTTTTTTATAAGAAAATGTTTGATACATTATTAAATATCATTTGATAATGACATTAATTATTACTTAATTTCTATTCTTAACTTAATAATTATTAATATAAAATCTTTTCATCTTTTTCTTTTGATTAATTACTAAGAAAAAGCGTTTCCATAAAACCGTTAATTTGATGTTGCACGGTCGACTTGATGCTTCGCATTCTCTCCATCTACTATATATATACATAACTTGATCCGCTTTTAATTGACAGTTCTACACTAATGACCGTTTAACGCTAAATCGATAAAGTAACCATTAAAATCGATCCCCTTCAAAATTCAACGACTGTTTTATTATTATTTTCATCGATAATGCGATTACATCAACGAAAATATTGCATTTTTTATTACAACTTTTATTTAATCTACTTTTATAGTTAATAAAAAAAATTACTAATCCAAATTAAGACCAATAAACTTTAAGCAAATAAATAAGTTTTTATTAATATTTATATAAATTTAGAATTGAATTTTGTGACAACTTCAAGTTTCACAGAAAAAAATGTATATTAATATTCTTTGCATAATCTGTATGCAAACTGAAATTTCCTCATCATGTCCATCAACATCGATGGACTCTTAAGTTGTAGCATGTAGCAAAAATACACTAACGAAAAAATCAAAACAATAACAACAAAATAAAACAAATTTTCCTGGAAAATTTTTGTTTCATGGCAAGAGCTTTATGTTATTTATTTTGTCTTGCCAAAAAAAAAGAAAGAAAAGATGAGCAGAACTTTTGCACGAATTTAATTTATTGACGAGATGCTGCAGCAATTTGATTGCATAATTATTATTATCTTGTAAAAATTTGACAAAAAGAAAATCCGCAAGAGAAAAAATAACAAAAGATTTCAGACAAAATTATAAATCGAGAGAGAGAGAGAAAACTAAACAAAATGACGCCACGTTCGTCTAGTTTCGTTTCTATTTCACCAATGAAAATATACAAATGAAATTTATTTTTATTTTACTAAGAAATTGCATATTTCTATGAGAATTTTTCATTTTTCTGGCACTTCAACGAAAAGATCACTTTTCTTCTCTTTGACATTAGAAAATTGAAATCAATCCAATTTGTGAGAAGTGTCACAATCAATAACAAAAAATAGATAATAATTATAAATTATGTTTATTTATTGATTGAAGTATGTATATTCTTTGGTTTGCTTGATGATGATGATTGATATTGTTGTTCATCTCGATATACACGCGAATGATTGGCAGAAAACGGCGATGAGATGACCGACGCCACCGTTTTTCCATCCAACTGGAGATTTAATTCGATCTGTAATGAGTTAACTTCGCGGTCGATCGAACATTTATTTTAACCTGGATCTGAAAACGTAGCATCCCGCAAATCGAGTGCAGTATTAAAAAAAAAATCCATTTAAATTTAGCGCCGATAACTGAAAACAAAACAAACAAAATCGAAACAAAAATCAACGTTTGTTTAATGGATTTTTGCTATAGCAACCGCTTATTTTTTTTTTGTATCTTTGGAGGGCATCAATTTAAAGTTTTGATCGACTCTGAAAACTTTTAGGCAACGAAATGTGTCGTGTCATTGAGAGTCATAAATTTATTAGGTTTTTTTTTGTGGATGGGAAATGGGTAAGGGTGGGTGTGAATTTCCCCATCGAGCGCTAAATAACGGGAAACGACACGACCCGAAAGTGGCGTTCTGGCTGCCCTTTCCCGCGACCATCAAGAGAGCGCCCTTTCTTCTTGCCACCCTTGTTTATTATTCTTGCAACAAAGTACGATCATTACGGGCAGATACGATTCTCGCATCTTGCAGTTCCATCGAAATTAAACGGAACGCTTTTGTGACTACTACTGCATTCATCTTCGCCCTTTCGCTTTACAGAACAACAACAAAAAAATTGTTCATTGTGCTTTTACGATAATGCAAATTTGAACCGCGTGTTTAATACAAGGCGTATGGGGATGAACGTTTAAAAGCTCGGTCACCCACCACACATAGTCGTAAACTTGGAAGCCTTCTACATATTTTATGGTCTCGAAGTTTTACGGCATCGCAACCACCGCCTAGGGTATTAGTTTGTTACCGAAACTTTTGCGAACACTTAAAATTCCTCAAAAACACGATGCGACTCCCACAAATTTCCATCAATTTTCC